CCAAAAGATTATTTGCTGAACTTCACGAAGAAATGTGCATTCTCCTAAGCCTGATCAGCAAAGCATTGAAGTAAGACTGATGTTCCACCAGGCACAGATGAGAGGATGTGGCGAATGGATAGTGGTGTCCACGAGCTTCCACTTCTCCCACTCTGCTTGTCTGCTTTTTGGCTTGGCTGTGGAAGCAGGCTGGGCTCCTACCAAGGTAGGGGCTATAAACAAGGTTCTTGCTCCTCCTAGGCTGGCTCAGGAAGGCACTCAAGAGGATATTCATTCAAGGGTTTCCGTTGAATGGTGGCTTCTCTCCCCTGCCACACACATAGTTGAGATTTACTTCTGTTGCCCAGACTCCCAACACTGAACCCGTTTCATTTTCCATGAGACACATTCCATCTCCACCCTGGCAGTAATATTGCACACTATATTGTAATCTCCACAGAGATCGTCAAGGGAAAGAATTTCATATCTCTGGAAAGGGTTAGGAAGTAATCACAAATGAACCATGTTGAGAGCATGTCAGGATTAAACCCAGAGTAACATGTTTACGTATGTATTGGATTATTCCCAGATATCTAAAAATGGTAGGCAGGGTGAAGCAGGGTAAGGACATGGTGGGGGGGCAGTGAGGAGCCATCCAGCCTGGTTCACTTCCACTGCCCAGAGGACTTTGAAGGCTCCACCACCTCAGCTGGGCCAAGCAGCTTCTGTTTATTGTTGCCATGACAACCACTCTTTAGTATTCATGGCTGTAGCATGCCTGTTCCACTTATATTTTTGGCACTGAGCACAGATATGCACACTGCAGCAAATTAGCTGATATGCTGAGTTGGAGGAGGAAGAGCGAGAAATCATCCAAAAGGCATATTTAGTATATAATTGGCACTCACAGATATGAGTAAGATCCCTCCTCCCCCGCCTCACATATTTGTCTATAAATATGCCTTCTTCAGTGCTGCTTTTGGTTACTGCATTCTGACAGTTCCTGCATGCATCTTGTACCCTTTTCTGTAGCCCATTCAAGTATGCAAATTATTAAAAATCACCTCTTCACTAGGTTGACAGTCTTGACAGGCATAAGTGCAATGCAGATTTCCTGACTTCTTTAATTTTGCATTTGCCAGCTGAAGTGAAGGCAGGCTATTCTGGGTTTATTTATTCATTTATCTATCAGTGACTGGAAGGTCACTCCAAGGAGGATAAATTCCTACCAGTTATATGTCACTACAGTGCCTGATCCTGGGAAGTGTGTGATCGAGCTAGCTAAATGTAACAACTGACTGGCAGGTACCGTTTTCAGACTTTTAACTCATTCTCACTATTTAAATCCATGGGCAATAAAGGCATGTCTGTATTTAATGAGGCAAGAAGGAGGTATGCTCATGACAAATTATAAGGAAATCCAATGCATGGTCAGAATCTTAGAACTGAATGCCACCACATGAACCCATCAAGCAGAGAAGCCGCCTCTGCAAAGACACCACTTCTTACTCACCTGCTTCCGATCTTACAACAGGAAAAAGTTTTTTCCCATCCACTTTCTCTGAAATAAACTATGCATAAGTTTATTTCCCTTTATTGTTCCACCACTTATTTGCCTTTTCCACCTAAGCTAAATTTTGTAATTCTTTCTCAAATGCAAGTGTCTCCATCTCCTTGATCACTGTGCTTGTGTGTATGTAAAGGACCTGCCTCCTAAGCTCACCCCCTATTTTCAAAAAAGGACATATGTACAATAGAAAGGTGGGCATTTGATTCTGGGGGTGGGAGGCATACCAAAAGATTCAAGGGTGGGGAAGCAGCAGTGGAGCTTCTGTGTGCAAAAACTAGCTCATTCAGGGTAGATTTCCCAGATCCCTCCTCCCCCGCCTCAAACCCCATTTTAAAAATCAACATTACATTGGCTATTTCCCAGACTTCTAGTATAGATACAAATCTTATGTACATTACATCTTGGGCAGATGCTATCTGGACCTTGTGGTTTGTTTTCAGTTTGTCATTAAGGTTTAGAACTTCATGCCTTCTTACCAGTCTTTCAATGCCTTGCACTTCCTGAAAATATCAGCAGGTCCATATATCCCTGACCTACATCTTCTGCATTTTGTCATTTAAATGTGTTAATACTTCTGTCATGAATACATCACTTTTTTTTTGCAGGCACTGGGAACATTGGGCCAGAATGACAGAAGGATTGAATGAGCAGTGGGATTCCCTCCTTCCCACTGACAACCTCCAAAAAGGGTCTTGATTATTGTATAAATTCCAAGCCCTGCACTCCTGCCACACTTTCAGGTCAGAGAACAAGGCCACAATGCCAGTTTGCCTGTGATGGGCCCAATTCCTGCCACTCTCCCTACTCTCCTCAGCATGGAAGCTGGGGCTGGCAGCATCTGTTAGCAGTCAAGCTAATCAGTGATTGGATCCTGAGCAGCTTGATTGCTACAGCAAACTCTTCAGGGTTTTAACCAATATATGTTATAGGCATTTGTGGCTTGCTTCTGTCTGTAACACTTATTGTTCCCACAGTACTGCAAGTTGCTGGCACAATTTATTTTAAAAAACACGCTGGTTGGCTTTCTGTACACTGCACTAAATTGCTGCAGATTCTACTAACTTGTTGTTGTTAGCCGCAAAGTTGCGTCCGACCCATTGTAACCCCAGGGACAACATTCCTCCAGGCCTTCCTGTCCTCCGCCATCCCCCGGAGTCCACCTAAGCTCACGCCGACTGCTTCAGTGACTCCATCCAGCCACCTCATCCTCTGCCGTCCCCTTCTTCTTTTGCTGTCACTTGTTCCCAGCATTAGGCTCTTCTCCAGGGAGTCCTTCCTTCTCATTAGGTGGCCAAAGTATTTGAGTTTCATCTTCACTATCTGGCCTTCTAAAGAGCAGTCAGGGTTGATCTCTAGGACTGACCAGTTGGATTGCCTTGCGGTCCAAGGGACTCGCAGGAGTCTCCTCCAGCACCACAATTCAAAGGCCTCAGTTCTTCGGCGCTCAACCTTCCATATGGTCCAACTTTCACAGCCATACATTGCAACTGGGAAAGCCATAGCCTTGACTATATGCACTTTTTTACTGTATACACAGATAATGAGTTTTAAATTGGTCATGTAGCCTGAGGGACATGAGGCCATAAACTTCACACCACAATGCAGGGGAGTGCAACTTGTGGGTCAACATATCTAGAGGGTCACAAATCTCATTATCCCTAGCCAACACAGATGGGGAATGTCATGAAGTTGTAAGCCAAAGTATCTGGAGGGCTACAGGTTGCCTACTTCCATAAAATATCAAACACAGTATTAGGGCTAATGCTAAAGGGCTACCATAAAGCATGACTAACCTTTTTCCTTTAACTTTTTCCAGAACTGTCCCCTTTCCTCTTATACAGTTATTAGATGGTCAAATTCAGGGCTGGCAGTCAGTCCAAACTATTGTGAATAGAATATTGGATAACTTTTGTATGCAGGATTAAGGAGTGAATAATAGCTTGGCTTGATGTTGTGCGCTGCCCCCAACCCAAAGCTCTCATTCTCTTGAACTGTTTCCCCATTAAGTTGCTTCCATTCCCATGTTCCCCTAACATCTTCCTGTGATTTCCTCCTTTTTCTTCTGGGCATGTCTGTGAGAATGAGGAAGGCAGGGAAGCACACATATTTTGTGGAAACAGTCAAAATGATGGGAAAATTGGAGCAATTAGCCTGACTTTTTAAAATGCTGAGGTAAAAAAAGACTCTCCAGGGCAGAGATGATAGAAGGATTAAAAAAATATTGTGAGGTGATGAGGTGGGAACGGGGGTGGGTTCATGAAAATGGAAAATAAGTAAAGGTGGAGAGTGAAAAGGTCTCAGAAGATCGCAAAGAATAAGAATTGTGAGGCAATGTGAAGTAAAAGGCTATGAAAGGGGCCAGAGATGCCAAGGCACTGCAAACAGTGGTCGAAAAGGAACTGAGAAAATGGCGGGAGTCTGCTTATTTATATAATGGGAAAAGGGAGTGGGGCTCCTGCCAAAAATTCTAGGCTTAGCTCGAGAAATCTTCCTGAATGTGGCACTGCACAGGTGCAGTACTCATATGTGTGATGCACAGAGACCATGGCAAAGAATGGTGGGATAAAAAAGTGGAATTGGGGAAGGGGAGACCAACTGCAAGGAATCACCAGAAGCATTTGGCTTTTTGTTGTTCTTTTAAACTGAAGTGCATCTGTCGTTCACAGGATTTTATCCTCACAGCTGTACTTAGCAACAGGTGGCACTTCAGCCATCAAAAAAAAAAAAAAAAAAGGAATTGGCACCACTCTATGAAACAGAGAAAATGCACCCGCCACCCACCCCATTCTATGATCTTGAGAGGCAGCTTCTACTTGTAAGCAGATTCACCCAGTAAGAGAATGGGGAACAGAGAGAGGGGAAAAGTATGTGGTCTGCTTACCTTTGCTCCAGGAGCCCTGTTTCCACAAACCACCCATATGCAATCCCCAACAGATTAGCCCATGGGTCCTCAAACTATGGCCGGATCTGGTCCACCATGCTGCTTTATCTGGCCCACCTCAGAGCTTTTGGACTCACTTGGAGAAAACAATCTCCAAGTCCAAAAGCTCTGAGCTGGCACAGGGGTACTCAGTGGGAAAGCAGGCGCAATGTGGGCACACTCATGCAGGGAAGACGGGCGCAATCACAGTCGTGCTTGAGGCGGGGGGGGAGATGGCTGCAATTGCGCCCGCCTTCCCTGCATGAGCGCGATCGCGCCTGCCTTCCCTGCACAATGGTGCTGAGGATGCCTGCACCACAGTCTTAGAAGAATGGTAATATACGCATTTGATAATCGAGTGCTGAGAAATACATTCAAATACAAAGAATCTCGATATGGGTACTATTCACAGGATTCCTGTCTCTGGACATGAAGTCAAAATCTAATGTAAGACCTACAGACAAAACAACCTGGATTGCTATTTCATGTAAGCACAAGATTCCTATTTCAACAAAGGAGTCAAAACACACATAAATGACAGTAGACTTTTATTAACATATTTTACAATGTTGATTACGGTATTTCTAGTTTTGCATGTCGATGTGTCAGACTGTTTCTGTTTCTACAGTAATGTACTGTACTTAAATGATCATTCATACAAGATACCACACCAGTACATAGGAGAAATAGCAGCAGTGCACACGCACACACACGCACGCACACATAAACACCCATTCTAGTTTGGACCTGTTATTTTCCAAAGTAAGCTTAAGCAAGTAGATCTTCAAAAAGTTATGGGAGTAATCAAACTTCTAGGTCAGCAGCATGCAGATGCATTTCAAGTAGGATTTCCAAACAAGTGCCTTTCTTTCTTGTCTTTTTTTAAACTGACCAGTGATAAATCCACCAGTATCAAAATGAACACAACAAAATACAAAGTTTTTAAAGTTAAGGCTAATAATTTTACTTCACACCCATATACACAATCAAAAACATTCCATTTTAAATAACATATTGTATTCAGTTCTTTGAGACATCCTCACTTGTGAAGTTTCAAACTACATTGAGCAATCAAATTCAAAAGCCCTGTAATCATGTTATGCTGGGAGATGCCAAGAATATTTCTGCTCTTCCACTGTGCTTACAAAATGGCCTGGTACTCATAAGTGAGCAATGAAAAAATATTATAGGCTAAACATTTGATACAGTATTAAAAATGTAGCAATGTTTTGGAAAAGACAAATTTCAGTCAGTGAAGGAACTGTAGGAAGAATCCAATGTATATGTGCATTTGCAAACAATGTTCTATTAAAAAGGAACCACTGCCATGTAAGTTAGCTATATGTTTGTAAAAAGCTAGTAGACTTGAGGTTCTTTATGTGAACATTCTTACTTTTCATACTATTTCCTGTGCATTTTTCAGCAGCAGATTCCTATCACATCTTTCCATCAAACACTTGGTTTTATGACAACTTTTTAAAAATTACATGTATAAACTCTTCTTTACAGAATAAGCTATATTAAGTTGAAGTATCTAAGTTTCAGAAGTGCCTGACAGCACTCTTCGAAAGAGACAACAGATGTTTGATTACTCTGTGTGTGGGGGAGTGGCGGGGAGAGACACCCAGAGTCTGGTAGCTATCAGTATGGATGTCCAGTTCTCTCTCTCTGATAAAGTGTGGTATTTTCCCCAATGATGGCTATTCTTGTGGATGTCTAAGCTCTCTGAACACAAGTGCCCTGATCTTACTGGGGGGCGTTATGTGGGTAGTAAGCAGGGTTCCACATGTGTAGCCCTAATTTTCAGGAGAACAATGGGAGCATCGAGCTGCAGGGCACGCGGTTCTTCTGTGTAATCCAGTAGTCAAGGATGGAGAGCAACTGTCTGAAGGATGACACAGCCTAATTCAGCCCACGCACTGCTCCCCCTTCCCTAGTCAACTCATCAGCAAAATTTCAGATTTTAAAAAATGGGGTTCTGCATATGCAGCCTTGGTTACTCCATGTGGGCTGCAGGAAAGTTAAGATGGCATTCTTCGTGTAAGAGGGACATGGAGGAAATAAGTAATTCACAAAATCCCCATCACCCTATTAAGAAATTCAAGCAAAAAGGGCAGTGAGTGTTCTAGAGACACATCAGAAAGAACCTGCTTGAACCCTCTGGGACGTTCCCAAATTATGCCTCATTTGCAAGGTATTTGCTCTATTTTCCACCACCACCAGAAACATATTGCTGGGTGGAAATGAAAGACATGACATGCTTAACTGGGATTATGATTTACCATTCTGGAAATTTTACAATAGTTGAATATACACAGACAATAAAATGGATGTGCTAGTATTTACTAGGAAATAAAGCTAATTAAAATGTCCAAATATTGTATATGTATTGTATTACATTAAAAGCATGAAGCTATCTATTTTACAGCTATTTTACTATTTAATCTCTGGAGTATATCTATGAAATTCCTGAGAATGAATAAGGTTTTCAGCAATGCCTGAAACTATTTCAACAGGTTTCTGGCAATAAGCAAAAATTCTCTAAAAATTCTTTAGACCATTTCTATACAATCTCACAAATCAGAAGTGTTACAACTCTTGTATACTTACAGATCCATAAAGCAGAATCTTAAAGCAACACAAAAATGCAAAGGAATCAAAGCAATATGTTTAGCAGGTGTACTACACATATACAGTGCTTCAGCATAAACAATCCCAATCAGGGAAAAATAAAACACTCAATAGCCATTTAGTGGCATTTTAAAGTACAATTTGTGCTTGTTTATTAGTGAATTAGAAAGCCAACAACTTTAGATTCTGCTCTCAAATTAAAAAGACTAATTGCTTTGTGTTTCTAATTACCAAACCCCTTATTACCTCTCATTAGCAGCACCTAACTAAGGCAGGGCTGCATACAGTGGCATGGCTTCATGCTTTCCCAGTGAAGAAACTAGATTTCCATTCACTTAAAGCTACAACCAATCATGTAGCGTTCATAATAAAAGGCAATGTGGCAACACAAATGATGGTTAGTGATCTACAAACCATTATAATGTGGCCCCCATCTTTTATTGATGTGATCAAAGGTGTGCGATACCCACTGCTGTTCAAGCACTCTGTATCTTTCTTTACATATATAGAGGGGTTTGCCACGCCTGCAAGGAAAAATATCAGCATTAATCAACACTTAGAATACTGAAAGCTGCCTGTGCTAATTTGCTGCCTTCAGCATCTGCCTTATGCACACGACTAAATGCCCCCTGCAGCCAGGCTCAGCCCAGTGCCTGAGGGAAATGACAAGATGGCAGTGCCTCCAAACCCTGCACCACCTCCGGCTGCAGCAGCTGGTCAGACTAGCAACTGATCGTTATTTCAGCAATGGCAGCAGTGCAGCAGTCAGCAATGCCACCTTAAAGGATGCAGGGCAGGCAGCATAGTCTACGGAGCTCTGTCCTTCTGGAGCTCCCCTCCAGGACCCACAGTCTGATGGTAAGGCCAGCCCTGCCTGGCTTGTTGAACAGGCTCAGGGTGGACCACTCAGATCATACGCTACCTTATTAGTCCCACATGACACTTGTTGGCCTGAGCAATTGCTAAGGTTGTTCATGCAGCTAGGCTGGCTGAGAACAGCGTAAATCTTCTCTTGTACACTTTTTTTCACCAGAAGGGGCTACATGCATCACAGACATGCCTTTCTCTTAGGAGGTGTCTCCACAGAAGCCCACAATCCCTTCCCAAATTCCAAGGTTATTTTTTTGGTTTTGGCTTTGAAACAGTTTGGTAAGTTGATCTTACAGCTTCTAAGGAGGAAGGGAGGGAGGGAGTCCCTGTATGGGCAGTTATTTCCCTCTATTTAGCAGGGGTCTCATTTTGAACTGCCTGAACTGAGGTTTCTTAGCCTGAAACTCAACAGCTCAGTTTAATAATAAGAAAGTAGCTCACATACATGCAAGGGCAAATTAAGCAGTCTTTTAAAAGAAAAAAGTCACCTGAGATCTCTGTCTTCTTCACCATGTGCATCCAAGTAAACAGAACCCCAGAGGCAAAACCGATTACCACGAATGATGATGATTACAGATGCATTGATCAAAAGGAATATGCCTGTTCCAGCACCGCAGTTTTGTGAGTGCTGAAGTTTTATGTTAGAGAAAAAAGAAGACAGTACAATTCCTTGTGAATAACATTTCAACAAGCAAAAGGAACATTCTGTCTCAGAATAATTATACAGTTTCAGAGTCAGTTTAATAGCTTGATCCATGTTTTTCTTTATTACACTCATTTTATTACTTAATCAGTGGAGGCATTTATGAACCTAATCCATACTCAAAGCAGTATCTTATACCAAGTCTGTTATCAAACCATTCTCTATTTGACACATACATATCTTTATTTACTCAATGTATTTAATGCATTTCTTAGCCACTTTTCATGCTTGGAATCTTCCCAGCTACTGGATAAGATGTGACATTTGAAAAAAAAAAAAAAAAAAGCTATTTTAGCTCTTAGTTCTTAGATGATTCACTATCTGGGATTAGGCTTATTGGGGGTTTTATTTCTTTATTTTAGTGATGCATTACTCATTTTTCAGGGTCAAACAGGGTCTAATACAAATAACCATCTGGGAATACTTGCTTCCCAACACACTTCTAAACCGGGACAAATACTTCAGCTATATGCTTCTAAGGCCAACTCCAGGATCCAGTATCTTTGTTGCATAGTGAGGCAACAGATGGGGCAGCATGGCATATGCACAAGCTCCCTCCAAAATCATTTTCCTGTATAGGCTATGGGGCACTTCTACTTCCCCTGAAGTGAAGAAGGAAGCTTGCTTTATTTATTTGGGTGGGGGGGCTGTGTTCACACCGGATCATTTGCGAGGTATCACTAGATCACAGTAACCAAGTTAAAAGCATTCTTAGGAATACTAACTTTTCAAATCACTTTGTGGAATAAATAACAGGTACTGTCCTTACCAAGACACATTCACAGCAGCCCTGTTGCTTGCAGCAAAGTCCTTTCAAACACACAAAAGTGCCACAAACTAAACAAACAGCAGGATCTTTAGGAACCTTGGAGCAGACTGAACAACTCTTTCTGTGATAGTACTGGAATATAGTATTATAATTTTCAGGCAGTTGTAGGAGGCGTGGTAAGTCCCATTTAGGTTCCTGTACAAGTAAAATCTGTTAAAAAACAAAAAAATACAGTATATATAGATTCTCAAGAAGTAAAATTATGTATTTTTGGAGGAGGAAGCAATTTGGATATTCCACATACGTCATGCAATTTTTCTCTAAGACTAAGCTGAATCCATTAGCATTGTCAGGGATACCAACTCTCTAGCATTTTTCTTCAGAAAAAAATGAACAAAGGCAGCCAAGAAGACAGTTTGGGCCTGATCTGTTCTAAAACAATGAAGGCATTAGCAGCCAACTAACAGTTTGCTGCTGATTCAGGATGAGTTATCAGGTTGTCCTGTCCCACTTCTGTAAATCTGCAAGTTTGCTACTTGAGCTCTTGGTGGCTCATTCATACATTTTGTGTATGAATACAGTAATCTTCAAAATCCAGCAGCTTAACAGATTCTGAAACAAGGTATTGTGATAGACATCAGTATATTGAATGAAGTCCTAGTTAAGCATACTGTACAACAAGCTACCTAGTGCTGAGAAATTATGTAGTTCTGTCCTTCTAAAATAGCCAGTTTCAAGCAGTACTCCCAGGAATCAGTGTTCCTTCAAAGAAGAAAATGATTAATGGTGTACAGGTGAAAGCCCTTCCAAACTGTCCAAGGGGCAACACTGGGGACTGCCCTAACTCTTCTCAGTTCCCGCCACTTTTTCAATACTTCCTCCAACTGCTCCATAAAGGAAGCTTTACCCACACAGACCCTCTCTGGTTCTTTTTGAAAGCACTTCCTTTTGACAGCTGTCAAAGGAAAGGGTTTTTCTCTAAGCAGTGTTTGTGACAGGGTTAAACAGGGCTGATCTGACAGATTTCATGTGTGGCCATGAAGTTCTGCTGGCAAATTGCCCTTAGATCCAGCAAATGTGTTTGACTAAATGGAAGCTGTTGCCTTTCCTTAAAGCTGCAATAATGCAAGGCAGCATGCAAGTAAGCCTAGAACAGGTTTACTGTTTTACAATATATATCATAAAGAGAGAGTAGCAAGTGCACTGTGCGCCTAAAAATTTGCATTATAGTATTTTTGTCAGTCTTCAAGAGTCCTTGTTGCTTTAATATTACTGTGCCCATCCCTGCTATAAATTAGGACAGGATCCTATGCATGTTTACACAGAAAAATGCTGGGAGTTGTAGGACTTTATTTTGGCTAGACATGCATAGAATTGTACCCTTTGAGGGACTTCTCTGAGTTGTAAGTTACCAAAGTACTAAAGCTAGCCCATTATCTTTAACTAAACCTTAGTTTTCGAGCGGTACCCAGGCAGGATTATATAGCATGCAAATTAACAGAGCATTTCTCATAATCATAATGATCAGAGAGATTAAGTTTTCAGTTGCATCATTTTTACACACTATCTAGTCCTTGAAATCATCTATTCAGTTTCCCATAGCTCTGTTTACACTATAATACTCTCATCTTTCTTACCAGGAAATGTTTAACTAGTTACTGATGTTTCTATTTCCATTCCAAATAAAACTTTTTAAAAAATCAATTCCAGTTCATTACTTAAAGAAAATAATGTGACAGCACAATCCAAACACAGTCAAGCTAGCTGAAAATTAATTGCACATGCACAAGGCTGTGCTGCCATGTGGTTCTTTGTTAACAAATAAGCTTTAAAAACACCTTTCAAGTTCACTGAATTTATAAGGACAAACAAAGGTCAATGGGGCAACATAAACTAGTTTGCAGAGCACTGTAGCAAGATGTGGCAAAAAAAAAAAAAAAAAACCTACCTTTACTTGTGTTGGATGCTTGTCCGCAAATGAAACCAATTCTGAGCACCATTGGGATATAATGTCAAAGGCTGGCACTGGCCAATCAAGACAAGAGGCACTGGCAAACTGTGATGATTGAAAAGATGATGGTAACAAGCCCAGGCAGGTGGCAAGAACAGTAAACTCTTCGTCTTCCTATTAAGCATAAAAGAAAGAAGAACCGGATGCATGAAATCCAAAATGGCAGCCAAACCAAGAAGGGGTAAGAGGCATTGACCATTATGACACATTTCATGTAGAACAGTGTTGTCAGTTTGATTGCATGAATTCACCACTATTATACCTATTTATATAGCATATACTATTATGGCACTTCAAATAAAAATCACTAAGTTTAACCCTTTCATCTTAATGAAATACAACTGCAACACTTTTTGTATATATGTAAAAATACTAGATCAGTGATATCGACAACTCCTTTAAAGTTCAGAGCACATAAGGAGCTCTGCTGCTGACATTGCAGCTACCAGCCTCTACCATGCACACTGCAGTATTATGGTAACAGAATTAATTTGTTTTTTTGTAATACCTGACAGCTGGGTAGCTCCCCTCCAAAGAGATGGTGCTGAAGAAGGCTGGATATCCTGAGGAAAGGCAGGCAGAACTGCTGCAAATATGTCTCTATGGAGTGTGGGCACCAAGCACTAGAGCTGTCCTAAATTAGGATTTGAAAAAAAAGATGTAAATACTGATGAGCATAACTTAATAATGTAAGAAGAGTCATGCTAGATCAGATCAAAGGCCTATCTAGTCCAGCATTATGTTCACACAGTGGCCAAACTGCTGCCTATAGGAAATGCACAGCCAAAACTGAATGCCATCATTGCATCCTCCCACTCATTCTCTCCAGCAACTGGTATACAGAGATATACCGCCTCTGATACTAGTGGTAATATATAATCATCATGACTAATAGCCACAGACAGCATCCTCCAACTGTGGTATTTAGTTGTTGTAGTGACAGATAAATAAAAAAAATGCAAACTTAATAAGCATTAAAATAAGATAGGGCTGACAAATTAAAATGCATAAATGATACCATAGACAGATCTTCAGTTTCCTCTTGCTCATAGATTTTCCCTTTGGAGAGCTCGCTGATCACATGGCTCTGTAATACACCCCAAGCCTTTTTTGCATTGGATAGATTCTGTGATTAAGAAGAAAATAATCACCAAATCAGACACATCTACAAAACACAGTAGCAACAGACACATGGAGCAAATGCAGCTTCCAGACAGGTAGAAAATGACTCTGAAAAAGCCCTGAAAACAGTGATATGCTGTGATGTACTGTCACTTCTTACATAATTGCCAACTGCTCCTATTTGGTTCCTCCCACTAGCAGGCACAATTTCAAGAACAAGAAAATCACCAGAAAGGGGGGAAAACTTTGGGTTGGATCACAAAGGGCAAATAAACCTCCATCACTTCTTTTCCTTCCCCACATGCACCAGATACAAGCTGCCTAACATACCTGCCCTCTCTGTGAACAGTTTGCTGTGATGCCTGGTGATGGTAATTATACTAATTAGGCATCTCATGCTGAATGCAGGGGAAGGATAGAATAAACTCCATCCAAGTCTTAGAATTGCTTCCAAAGCAGGGACTTCTGGTTTGTCACTCACCCAGCAAAGCAGCACCTGACAGCAGAGTTTGATGTTGACCTATGATTCTTGGATTGTTTGGTGTCAGATAAACAATAAGCTGTCTCTTGCTGGTGAAACTCCTGGTTACTGAAGCTGTTCCCACTGGTGGGAGGACACTGGCCAGAGCACTCTGGCACTGTGCATTAGCACACTTGCTCATAAATGGTACATCAAAATTCTGGTTTATTGTTTTGTGCCAATGCAAGTACATACAATGGCCAAGATCCACAGAACAAGATCCTAGTTTGGAGCACTGCAAGGGAGTTTAGATTTGTTTTTCTTGAATATCATTGGTCACCAAGCCTCAAACCTGCCCCAGCTTGCATGCCAAACTTTTAAAAGCAGTTCATAAAATGGCATAGTAGTAAACTGCTCAAAAAAAAGGCATAAAAATTCCATGGAATTCTATAGTAAGAGCTTTCTGAAACTCAGTCATGGTTTGTTCTTATTTGTAATACTTTGAGAAGTTGAGAACTGAGATAAACATATTTTTTTTAAAAAGTAAACACAGCTAATTTTTAAAAACATTTCAGAGGTGTTTCATAAGCCTATGTTGTGTGTGAGCACAGGAAGAGCTGTGCCTCATATTCTATAAATGCTTTTATATTGCCATCACACGGCATCTCCATATTAATATGAAGCCATACCAAAAGTATGCCATATTTTCATGCTGTAACAGATAGGAGCTGGACTATTTACATACATTCAGATAAAAATCACACCTATTTCCCTATTTTTATTTCATCAGGGTAACAAAAACGGGCTATATTTATCAAATTGCCTATAAAAGAATATAACGTGGCAGTATTAATGTCGAATTATATTTTACTATCTCCAGTACACCACCACTGAAGTGTCTATCAATTCCTTTCATATTTAAAGAAATAATTGTGAATGCAATGCAGAAGTTATGTGTATGAAACTGAGATTTCATGACGTTCTGACAGCTTATATAATGTAAATCCTGAAGTAATGGTAGTGCAACATGATGTTGCAGAAGTAGTTATGGCAGTAAAATGGAATGTTAAAGGCCACATATCATAGTCTAATATAACTCATTCTCTTCATTATACATATTCTCAGAGGTGCTAGAAAAGGGTAGCTTTCTGTTCTGGTAATGTAGAAGCTAAGAGCCCTTCGCACAACCTTATTGTTCAAAATTCTTTAGGACTGTGGAAAAGCCAGTTAACTAAAGGAACAGAGAAAGGATCAATTCTAAGGACTACCACTGGGGGAAAAAGACCCAAATCCTTGTGGACTGAAAAGGCATTAAGTTCTGAAATCCTATGGGAAAATGTAATCTATACTAAAAACGGGGTCTTGGGAATCCACCATCTAGCCAAAGGGACTACTAAGGTTCTAATAGATGTATCAGAGAGAATAGCCTTTAGCCTTTTCCAGAAAACATACAGATTGAGAGCAGTTTAAGACTGATGCAAACATGTGAATAGTGGGAAATAGATCTCTCCCCCTTTAGAACTAAGGAAGCTTGCAACAAGTTGTTTTTGAGACCTTTATGAGACCTTTTGCAAATAAATCCAAAATGGATTGATCTTCATATCTCTTTGGCTTAACATTCAAGTAAGGGCAAACCCCTGCATCTTCAGTCATCATATGTTTTTACAGGGTAATCAAGTCTGTCTTCTATTTCAGTTTTCCAGTAGATCTAAGAAGGATAATCCACAAGTTCTAGCAGGCTCCTGTCATTTTCATGGTAAAGACATTTCCAATACTGAACTTAGCTCTTTGTCCTGTTCTTTGCTCCCTATTTGTCCATCCTGTGCCTAGCCCAGGATCTGGAACAGCAAACAGAATGACTTTCAAAGGAATATTTTATTTCAGATAAGCAAGTACAGCAGATTTAATCTAAGCAGCATGGCTGGCTGCAGAATGCTAGGAATTGTAATCCAGCATGTCTGGAGAGCACAAAGCCGGGGAAGTCTGAGCTACAGTATATCCTACTGCTTGATGCATACATTGCCTTCGCCTCTTTTTGTTGCATTTGCCCATGAAGAATTACGTGTGGAACTTTATCAGATCTAAGTTGATTCTACAGAAGTGCCACTTATTTCAGTGAGCCTTGATGTCCACTTAGGGTGTATAGGATCGCTACCGGCTCCAGACCCTAACTGCATCAACAAACACAATGAAAGAGCAAGTATGTAATACAGAGGAGCCCAGCCACAAGGCAGGAATCCATGGCCAGAGTAAATGCCACATAACTCTGCATCACAGAATAAGTCAAGATCCAGATCAGGTGGATCCAACTCAATATCCAGCCAAAAATGCACATGGCTGTTTCCCCAGGGTCACCCCCATTAACTAAGCCAGCCCTAAGGGACTTGGAGATGGTAGGGTAGTTTTCCTATGAACACAAAGACACTCATCTTTTGAGAGAATTGTTGATTTGAACAACAGGAAGCAGGCAGGAAAGTTCTTCTGATACCAAGCTCTCCCATCTTGTATCCTGTGACTTCTGGCATCACTGCTTGTACGTGAAAAGGCCCGTGTGACTGCCAGCTGTTTTCTTGCAGAGAAATTTCTCCCCCAGGCATCTTTGCATGTGTGTGTGAGGGAGGATGAGTAAAGAGTGTTTTCACGACAGACTCACTCAACTACCAGGATGGAAGGGGAAAGTGGAGCAGTGAACTCCTGTGACCTGCATGATGGCTGTCCCTGCTTTTTAATCCCTCGCCAGCCTGTCTGGAAAAGACGAGGCAAAAGAGGCACTGAAAGACTTGTCCCAGTCTGGGGAGAAGAACAGGGCAAAGAGCTTCACTCAAGGGACCCTTCAAGACTTCTTCTCCAACCCACCTTCTTTTTTACCACCTCACACACCTGCACAACCTCTAAGCAGTGTGGGCATTCTTTCATTCAGAGTGGTGTATCTTCCTGTTACCACATTTGCCAGTGACAAAAATCACTGAGAATTATTAATTACATTTCTATAACACCGTAAAAGCCAAGTGCTCAAAGCTCAGTAGTTCTGAGCAGTCCATAACTAGTTGAGACCTTCCCTGCATTTGAGAGAGTGAACAACAGTTTTAAGCTGCAAAGAAATATAAAGCTGTACACATTTATATTTCAATAAGGCCAACAAGATTTAAAATGTGTCCAGCTGAGGATAAAGCTGTCATTTTTAACAGTCTTACAGTTTTGATAAGTTAACAAACCTTTTTCAGAGCTCCTGAGTTCATCCAAGTCATCCTGTCTTCGGCGCTGCATTTAATTGAAAGAGCAACGAGTGCTTGTACATACAACAATGTGAAGAGCACCTTTATGATACAGATAAAGTGTTCTAAAAAGTAGAAAAATAGGCATTGTCATTCAGGCATTCTCAAATTTTTGTCCACCAATTGTACAGCTGATACATCTGCAATTTTTCCCAATTGTACCAAATGGTTTAGAAGGAGCTAAGCAGACCTGTAAGGCACAGTATTTAAATCTGCTTATTTTCAAGAATGTTTTATCACTTCTGAAAGGATTTATTCATTTTAATGCCAGGTCTTATTGCTTTGTTTTAACATTTTGGATTATGAGCCACCTTAAGCAAATGGAATGAGATGGTATGTAGATGCATTTTTATAGAAATCTTTGCAGCATTTTAGATTAATTTAACAGGGCTTTAAGCTATTACCAAAACCATGAGATCATGGGTTTCTGTTTTTGTTTTTTAAAGAACACAAGGCCTTCCATTATAAGCCAGAACAAAGGATTAACTTTTTTTGTAAAGATCCAATTATAATTACATTCTCAGTTTGCTGGAGCAGACATGAATAAGAATAGTGGATGGTCATGTGGCTTAATTATTATAAGAAATTGGTCAAGTAAATAGAACATACAACACACTGACTAATTTGGAAAGCTGCATTTATGGCAGTGGTACAGGTATACCGAAAACCTGGAAAACAAATATAATGTGTGCATTCCTCAGAATCTCCTAACCTTGCTTTGAAGGTTCCCTTTCAGAGAACGCCATATATAATAACATGGCATATCCTGCCTGGCTGCCATTAAATACCAAGTTAAATGTCATGTGCTGGAAGGCAACACCTTCCATAAAAGAGTTCGTCTAAAATGGAAAAAAGAACCAAGCAAAGCTATTTCAATTAATCTGGAAATGGTCACTTTGCCAATATATCACTAAATCTTTCTTTGCCACAGGAGAAGGGGAATGCACAACATCAGAATAGCTCAGAGCATTTTTTTATTCATAATTCTGCACTAAAAACTCATATGCGGTATGAAAACGGATGAGAAATTCAGTATAACCCCATTGTGTTATGTTGTGATATCTGTACCCTGGACCATTCAGAAAACGGGGGGGGGGGGGGAGGCTTTTATATAGGAAAGGAGCTTTGCTATATACGAGTAGTTACTGCTTTTTTCCTGTGGCAACTATGCATGCCCTTCCTTTCTCTAGTCTAAGTATACCTGCTTTCCTTCATTCTCTTTTATAGAATTTGCCTTCTGGACTTTCTCTTTTCTTTTAAAGTCTTGTATGATTCCTTTTTTAACTTTGTAGCCTGTTTCTTGAGCTAGGTGGCTAGAACTCAACGTGCAGCCTCTCTGTTCTTTGAAGTGATTCTTCTGTTGATACAAACTACAATGACATTGACTCCACAATGAGCCAAGACACACATAATGCAAGGTCCATGCTAAGCATGGTTAAATGGAAACCTGGCCCTGGAATATAAACTCCTTTTCTGCAGCAAACTGTGGCTTAGCAGTATCAAGATGAAGATAAACTAGCATTATTACACAACCGTATATTGCCAATTTGAAACATGTATTCTGCCCCATTCCCATTTTAAACATGCATTCTGGCTATCTTAATCCTCTTTTTAAAAAGTCAACGATATTCTACTCTGCAATAATCCTTTAGGCTGCAGAGGAGGTGTATGCAAGAAAAGGATGCAGCTGCCCTCTTACCCTGTGAATCTTCCATTTATAAATTGATGGAACTGCTGACTGCAACTGCACTGACCTCTAGCATGATGTTTCCCTACAATCAAAGACCTAATTTGTGTTCTCTCTCTTCAGGGTGATTCAGATCAATTTCTCCTCTCTGAAAGAAGAGACTGAACAGTATAACAGCATTTACTTTGCCTTAATCAATGTTGCATTGAAAAAGATAACGAAGGCTATTCAACAGTTAATAAGAGAGTTAATACAATTCCCAGGGTCTTGCTGGAAGGGCAGGAGATGCTATTAGGACACTGCTTATTAAGTGCCTATTTTCTCAAGGTATACCATAGAGGTATACTTTAAAACAAAAGGAATTTAGTTCAAAATGACAGCCTGCCAAAGTAAACTCTGGGGGGAAAGAGCATAAAATTACTATAGGTGTCTCACTGACCTAGACTGTACCTGGCACCTTTAGACTTGCCAGTAATGCCAAAAAGGGAGAGAGGATGGTCACACACATTTATAAAAGATCATTTATGAATACCAAGGTAGCTGGAAAAGGCTCTCCCTCGCATCTCCCCCCATTCTCTACATTTGGACATTTAGACAGCCACTTGTGTATAGGACTAGCACTCAGGCGATCAAGGCTCTAGCCCCCACTCAGCCATGGGACTCACTGGGTGATTTTGAGCCAGTTACAGACTCTCAGCCCAACCTACCTCACAGGGTTGTTGTGAAGGCATCCAGGGCTGGGATACTAGGAAGGAGTACCCAGCGGTGATTTGCCATGTGCAGTCAGTCCCATTGATTCAGTTGTGCAAGAATATGGGAGCTCCATATTCTGGTCATTTCAGAGCTTGCCTACAAGTCCTAAACGGCTGATGTGCTAGCAGTGGGGATCACTGGACTGGGGGAACTGGCAGGGGCTGGACACACATGGAAGAAAGGAAGTATTGAATCCCACATGTGGCTGGGCAGGAGCCCACTGCCCTAGACTTTTTAAAGGTGAACACTTGACTCTCAAAGAAGGCATAGTGAAGCTCTGAGCCTATGTCATTCAGTTTCTATTTACATGTGTTTTCCTATGTCTGAAAGGTTCAGTTTATCATAACCTCAGCACAGAAGAATGACGCCAAAGAGTTGTCTTGATCCTTAGGGGTGCTTTGAGGCAAACTGTTATTTGACTTCCAGAGCTAATCCTGAGCAGTTCAGGGCAATGCAGAACTTACTCTGGCGTTGGCAGCAGTAGCCTTTTTCTTCTGAATCTTCAAAGGGCCCCAGAGTGGGAGAAGCTTATTGCAGGGCTACAATGGTCAAAGCTCTGCTCCAGCTGCCTCTGCCCCACAATCAGCTTTTCACACCATTTGGATTGTTCAGAGAACTAAAAAGCGCTACCTTCACCATAAACATGTATTTTATTTAGAAAACAGACACACTGCACACAAGTGCAGCTTATTTGCTGTTTTGGCTGAATTTGCCACTACTCTAGTTCACGTCAGCTTTTGGTGTCCTCCGTCCCCCGCACCCTTAAGCTGCAAGGACATACTGAAGATAGAAGGCACAATTGGCAAAATCCCTCTAAAATTGTGATCTGTCAATCTCTGCCATTAGGCGTTGTGCCACTTCATCTCCAAGAATACATCCCTCTCCCATTTCCTAAAGTGCTGTAAAATTTATCTATGCTGTCCCTGATGATAATACCCTCTTTGCTTCAGTTTTCATCTCCTCTGCCCATTTCCTCAAGCCACCACCTATGTTTTCTTCAGGCTTTTTATTTCTCAGTCCTTCCTTCAGCATTCTTGCCTTCGTGCTCCATGCCCCTTAGTTTCCCCGCAATCTTCTCAGTCCCCAACCTGCCTTGTGTCACTGTTCATCTCTGCTGAAGTAGCCATTTTTCCCTTTCCTCAAAGAAGCTGGACTGAAATCTGTTTCGTTTCCTACACAACCTAACACAGCTTGCCACCGTGCCAATTCTGCCAGCCAGTGTTACAGGCTTCACAATTCTAGTCATCACACTGGTCCACAGATTTGTAGTCTATCATTTTTCATTTTCCTTTGGAACTTGAAAGAATTTGCCCATACCCCTGGAGAACACTCTTCAATAAGAGCTTTTAAAAACATATACATGTCATACTTATTTCTTATATTCTATAACATCCAGTAGCTGCAAGCCATGATGCTTTCCCAATTCTAGACATAGTTTCAGTGAGCTGCTAGTGTGCTCAACCTAACTTCTTTTGTTCCATAGATGCATGAAGAGAGTGCAATTTAAGGTGAATAAAATCCTTATCTTCATGCATCCACAATACACGAGGTTCCTTACATACCTGATTATGCCTTTTGATGGAACACCCCTAGTGTCAAAAATCACAGTGTAAGCCAGACGATTTAAGCTATACAGGCTTTCAAAAAGGGAATGCTATCTTAGTAACCCTTTTAAAAATGTATCCTGTACTGTTGGCAGTGAAATAGAATTAGGCTAGCATTTTAAAAGTTTTAAAACCTGATAAAACAAACAGCAATACATCATTTCTGCTTCAAAAATGTCTTGGGTCTCCGGTAACATGTTAAAATGAATATATGCAGCAATCATTAATGATACTGTATTATAGCAATTATCTTTGTCATGTGTGAGACAATTGCTACAATTTGCACAGTTAAATTAAAATAAATTATTCTCTTTCACCCTTAGGCATTCACTGGTTAATGTAAAATATTAAGCAGTCCCACTACAGCAAGTGACTGAAGGTCAAACAGAAGCACCTCCCCTTTCTCTGCAACTCAGGGAATTTAATAGCCATTCTCAGGCCTTGTGGTTCTACTGTACTGTTGCCTGATAAACCTGAGAAGACAGGAGCCGTAGATAAGCTTGTCAAAACACAACAAAAAGTCTGTTTGATGCCGGGTTCTAAAGATAAGACCAAGTCATTATTTGAGCGTACACAGCAGACAAATTTTATTTACTGAACCATGGGAGGAGGAGGAGATGTCCCTATTAATGTTCTCTTTTTCTGTTTTTTGTCTTTATTTGTAACATACCTTTGTGCAATGGCTGTGGCATGGTTAAAATCTGGATGAGCAAAAGGGATGAGACATCTCTGTAAAGCATTGGAACTTCTGGCTGCTCTTCATTGCACACCCTGAAAAATTATGAAAGCAATTATATTTCTCAGCACAATCCACCTTAACTTTCTTAGAATTTAAAAAAAATTGATACAAAGCTATTATATCATAAGCATATCAGGGCACACTAGTATCTGCCTGTGCCTTAAAACCAAGTGCTGGATGCTCAGGTATCTTCTACCTTTCTACAGGTGTTCTCTGTATCTCAGGAGGACCTGCTCCCTCTTTTCTCCATTCTGCTCACACTTCTTCAAAAGTCTTCAGCAGCCTACAGCTCTCTCCTCCATTACATAATTTCCACATTGCTTAGGCAGGTGCTTCCATCTTTTACCCTCTATGCTTCTTCAGCAGTCCTCTCTTTTCTCTCCATACTGCATCCTACTCATGCCTCTTCTATTGCTATTGTGCAGCCTGGCTGCAATCTCAGCGATGATGCATAAATGCACTTGCTGGCAGAACAGTCACAAGTGGAATATCAAGGAGCCACAGCTTGGCCCCCTCTGTTAAATACATTTACTTAAACATAAACCCTAATAACTTGGGAATACTCCCAGGTATTTTATTTATAATTTTAGGGCTTGCATGCAAACAAATGAAAGAGAAGCCTGATAGCAGGTCTGCTCCTTGATATAAAACAACAATGGAAGGGGGGGGGGCAGTACCTAACCCTTTCTCAACCCACCACTCAATTTGCATAATTATAAACCAATAATATTAATGTGCTATTGTCCAGATTTGGTGAACTGGAATAGGGTAACCTGAGTATTTATCCACATCTTCTGACAATAAATATTTATGTTTAGCATTTTAAAAATGTATTTAGAAGGATCAGTATTAAGGAAAAATTCAGTCTACATTTTCTGTTACAAAAAGGTTGAATCAAGATCAAGTTAATTACACTTAAGTCATATCTATCTGGAATGTTACCCATGGCTAATCTAAGTCCTACCTATTTCATTGATTTCTACTTATCTCATTGATTTCAATGGGATGCAAGTGCTACTAACTGGATCTGGACCCAACCCAATATATCTGTGAGTGGTTATAATGGCCTCCTTGTTAATGAAATTCTTTGAAGATGCAGGCTTTCTTGCAGCTTTACATATCGCCTCCCATGAACACAGAACGCCCTGGATCATGCAAATTTGGATATTAATAAATCAGAATGAAAAAGGCAGAGCTGATGAAATTAATCTTATGAGGTTGTGGGAACTACTTTTGAGGAACTGTTTTTATCAAATATTGTTTAATCAAATATACCCCTGACAGTGTTTGCAGGACCATAGGACAGTCTTAGTTTTATTTATTTATTAAAGCATTTTTATGCCGCCCCATTCGCCGAAGCCTCGGGGCGGCTTACAACAATAAGTTAAAAAATAATTATAATATTAAATTAAAAAATATAAACATTAGGTTAAAAATACAAAAATACCAATATAAAATAAGCCACCCTGGCCAGATAAAATCCAATAATATTAACAGTTAAAATGCCGCTTAAATAAAAAGGTCTTCGCCTGGTGCCAAAAAACAAATAACGACGGCGCCAGGCGGACCTCTCTGGGGAGCGCATTCCATAACTTAGGCGCCACCGCTGAGAAAGCCCTCCTCCGAGTACCCACCCTCCTAATTTCTTTCACGGAGGGTTCCCAGAGAAGGGCCTCTCCCGCCGATCTCAAGGGGCAGCCGGGCATATATGGATGTAAGCGCTCCTTCAGGTAACCAGGACCCAAGCCGTTTAGGGCTTTATAGGTCATCACCAACACCTTGAATTGGGCCCGGACTTCAATGGGAAGCCAGTGAAGCTGACGGAGAATTGGAGTCATGTGAACATAACGCCCAGTCCCCATCAGCAGCCTGGCAGCTCTACTTTGAACCAATTGAAGTATCCAGACCGTCTTCAAGGGTAGCCCCACGTAGAGCCCAGATCTGAGGCTGAAGTCAGTGCTCTGTGCTCCTCCCCATGATCCCTCGTAGCCAATACAGAAAGAACCTTGTCACATACTCTTCAGGGCTGGAGCAGAAGCCTTGCAGAGCGATAAAAACAGGTTTTGGGGGCATGGGGAAGAGAAGAGCTTGGGCAGGCCAAACTACAAGGTATCCTACAGCCTCTTTACCTCTGCCTTGAAGATTCTGCCGCTAGCCAAGCCAAAAAAGCCTGTCTGCTGGAAGATGCTGGGTGACAGGATGGGGAGGGGAAGATCATCACTGGTCTACCCATTCTGCACTGGATGCCCTTAAGTCCACAAGGCTTACATGCATTGAGACAGGATTGTGTCAAGATCTTTGCTCAAGATCTTCATTAACTTTTAAAAATGAGTTTCCTGCATTTCTAAAGCTTTCTATTATGACACATAATTTTGATATGTATGTGTATGAAATTTCCATTAGCTCTCTGACCCTACACAGATTGTCTGTGTACGTATGTGCATGCGTTTGCACACAAATATTTGTATTAAATGTGCACAGACAAACAGACATCAAAATATTTAAATTAACCCAATCAAATAAAATTAACCCAAGATGTTATGTTACCAAAGATTCAGAAGCATTTTAATAAGCTGCTAAAATGTGGAACAATGACTGTTACTTGTTTTGATTATTCAGTCAAGAGAACTTTAAAGTTGACCTTTTGGTTTTCAATTGAAAAAGGAATGATTGACTTTCAATATCTGTATTTCACCACTTTTTCTTCTTTTGAATTTAAAAAAATAATTCTGTTTTACAGGATGCAGGCGGAATATTAATTTTTCATGACTGATTAAATGTTTAAATGCATATAAAGATGCCTGGCTACACTGCAAAAATATTGAAGACTTGTGGGAAAAAGTGAACCATTTGGCTAAATGTATTTCATTCTGCAAAAACAGATGAAGTGAAGTCATAGCAAATGCCAAGGTTTAAATAAGCTCCCTTAATTTACACCAAGCACCAGAGCACCTTAAGCACTTAAAAACTGCTCTGTCATTTACTCAAAGCCTAAGAAACTTCTTCACTGCAACAGTGAAAACTGTGTTCTGTATAATCTGATTATGGAAATGATGCATCCTGCTAATCCCTTCAATGAATATGAGAGTCATGGATAAGCATTACTCTCCAAAACTCTGTCACAGAAGCCGTTAATAAAAAGCAAACAAATGTAAGGTCTGATAGTGATAAAACAAATAATTGTAAAGTGAATTAAAATGTACCATATACACTTAAAGAGTTGGTAAGCTGTATAAAGGTAAAGGTAAAGGTTTCCCCTTGACATTAAGTCCAGTCATGCCTGACTCTAGGGGGCGGTGCTCATCTCTGTTTCCTAGCCGAGGGAGCCAGCATTTGTCCGCAGACAGTCTCCGTGGTCCTGTGGCCGGCATGACTAAACACCGAAGTGCACGGAACACTGTTACCTGCCCACCGAAGTGGTAGCTTTTTATCTACTTGCATTTGCATGCTTTCGAACTGCAAGGTTGGCAGAAGCTGGGACGGAACAACAGGAACTCACCCCATTGTGCAAATTCGAACCGGCGACCTTTCGATCTACCAGCCCAGCAGCACAGCGGTTTAAACCACTGCGCCACCTGCAGTCCTGGTAAGCTGTATATGGGCTACCATATTCAAAGATACTGACAGAACTGACAATTGGTTGTGCTTTTTCTTTTTATCCAGGGCCGATGATTTTTCCATCTGATACAAATTATTGAAGTAGTTGTCATTAGCTAGCAAAATGTACTTATTCTAGGAACTTTTAAATTCTACTTTTCAAAATGAATGAAGGACTTAGTTTGGAGGAAATATACACAGGATTGTGCTGTGAAAAGAATTTGCATGGCTTTTGTGTTTGAACTACTCTTCTCTCAACAGCTTAGCAATAAATGTTTGCATCTCTATCTCACTTTAGTGTCAGCCATAAAAAGTCATGAAAGCACTTAGATTTTTAACTACAATCGTGTGAGTGATCCATGCCTGGGCCTGAAAGTTTGCACGTCCAAGTAATTACTTTCAAGTAATTTTTACTACTACCGATTTTACTATTCAGTGTTTTGGTTTGGCTGTACATTCATTTGTTTGTAAGCTGTTTACAGAATATAAACAAGCACACGATTTAAAAAAAGTTTAAAAGTTGCATAGCTGTAAAACTGAATTCAATTCCTTAGAAAATTATAAGAGAGCAGAAATATACAGCACTAGTTGGTGTCTCACAGGGTAAAACATTTAGGCTTCACAAAGGTATTTGCCTACAGAACTGTACTTACTGCAAGTTCTCATCAAGCACCACCTTGGTCAGTTTCCTCCATGGGTTGTAAGCAGAATCGATGCTGTAGAGTCGCATGTGCATGGCCAACACATGAAACAGCTGATCTGAACAGCAGAGAAAAATAGCTAGTGAGTCATGATTTGCTTGTATGGAACTAAAATATTACAAATTCCTTTGCAATTATTCCTTGGTTTAATTTTCTGTTTATTTCAACGACTTGAGCTTCCCTCACTGGTTACCAAGCTGTTAAGAAAAATGAAACTCATTTCTCTGGTGATGTTTTGCCATATACAAAAAGCCTGTGCCAAATTCAGACCAGGAAGGCATAGATTCAAATTCTGGATCAACCATCAGCTGCACTGGATGAACTCAGGTCAATTACTTGGCATAATGAACTTCGTAGATTGTTCAAAAGAGAAACAAGATAAGCTGCCTGAGATCTTTAGAGGAAGTGGCAGGATGCAAATGCAACAAATTTGTACCAGTTTCTATTCCAATAGCAGCAGCAAAGTTTGGCCTTGGCTGCCACACCAGATGACTCATCCATCTAGTGCTAGGCTAGAACAGGTTTGCTACACACAGGCCTTCCACAATGGAAGCGGAGACCCTGTAAGGGAAGTGTAGCTTCACCCCTTGGAACCTTTTGCACACAAGCTGGTCCATATATACCTAGAGAAGCCTTCTCGAGAAGCCTGTTATCACCATTACAAAGCCAATAACTGTTTCTATATCCACTCAAGAGTCAAATTCTGTCATCTATTTTCAGTGCTCAGCACTATATGGAATTGAGCTGTGGATTTTTATTATGAAAACCATAACTAAGCTCTTCTATTACTGAGACTACATTTTGGTTCACATGCAATGACCAAGCCAACCCATGACTGTTGTGAACAGGCTTCATGCTTGCACATGGTAACAAGCAACTCTTCTCCTCCTCCTTCCAAGTGAATTAGGACAAAAGGCTTTCTAACTAGAGTATTATGTTAAAGCTGACTAACTAGGCTGGTTTGGGGATACAAAAGAAGAGTATTGCAGAAGTCAATAATAAAAGACAGAGACAAACTTAGAGTACTAGCCATTAGGAAAAAGTGGCTTAATGATAAAATGTTGATTATACTCTTCCCTTCCATTGAAAGAGCTGGATCCACCTTCAAGATGGATCATGCTGCTTATGAACCAGTCACTGGGAAGCCTGACTTTTCTCAACTGGTCCACATCTTATTCTTATACCAGTTCTTAAGCACCAATTCTCATCTTAAGTCTTCCTCCACCCATCTCAGTTTGCTCCCAAGAGTTCCTCCTTGAACTTGAAATTCTCTGGTTATCATTACAGCATTTTCTATGCTACCCTACATGTACATATATGTTAAGTATAAGACTCTAATACAATAGAGGCAGTATTTTACTAATTGTATTGTTGGTGTTAGTGGAAATGTACACCATCCAGAGAGCCCTACCAGAGCTATAAGTACAATCTACAAATGTGGATGGATGGATGGATGGATATTTCAACACAATTAGAAGTTAGTTCTATGTGGCAATTCTCTGGGACAAAATGGACCAATTTAGAGTACATTATTTCATAAAGAACTAAATACAACATAACTGCTGAGGCTTAGATCTTTTCTGGATATGCAAAATCAGACTGATGTAGGAAGAATAATACAAAACTAATAAAGGAAATAATCCTTCATAAAGTTTCTCTCCTATTCAAGACAAACCACCATCCCTTCAATAATGGGATCACAACTACAGCTGACCCATAGTTCAGGATTCCCTACAAAGTTTTGCATTTCTTCCCATGTGTTTCTTCACAGATAAAAACTTCTGTACATGAGAGATGTATCAACTGTAGTGAGGCTTGTGTTATTTTCATTGCAAGAAGGGTTTCTATTTCTCTTCCTTGCTATTTATTTTATTAACCAACCACAAGGTGGCACTATGAAAAAGAAAAATTGAGACTCTAAACGTGGCTTCCATTCCAGTTTGAAATTTAGTACCTTGATTTCCTAGCTCTAAAAAAAAACTATGAAAATCCTCGGAAACTCAGGAGACCATTTGTTATTTGCTATTTATTTGTTCCTCTGACAAGGATGCTCGGGGAGCTTACATGGTCCTTTTTCTCTATATTTTGCATCCTTGTTTTACAGACTCTCCCCTAATAGTAGAAACCATCATTTATCAGTTCAACTCATTTTTTCATAAGAACTTATCCTCTTTCCTTTTCTGTTACAAAATGGAAGTCCACAGTTACTTTATTTTATTTATTATCCTAATATCTGTTCCTCTGTCTCTAAAGTTTCTATCACCTGAACTGACTCAAAGAGATACTGCTGTATTTGAATATATATCACAGAAGGAATTAATTTATTTTCCACAAATAGACAATTATTCATAGGCACTTGGAACACAAGAACAGTCTCATGCTGAAGTCAAATGATCCTAGTGGAGCTCGAGGGCTGTAATTAGCTGCTGGGCTTCCTGAAATAATTGTAGGCACAGCTGATATTGGAACTGATTGTTGTCACCTGTTTTCTGAGTCAGAGGCAGTGAATGAGGACAAAACACATAACCGTTTTTCCTGGCAACAGATTCATTTTGCAGCCTTTCAAGAAAAACACATTTCAGTGAAAATGTTTGCAGGTCAACCTCAGCTCATATGCTTTTACATATGAGAGCAACAGAAAAATTTTGAAAATGTGGACCTTTTGGTATTTAAAATGCTTTCAATCTATTTTGGAGAAGCTATTTTGACAAACTTCCCCTTGCCTCTAAAACCACCAAGCCACATTCTGCAGCATGGGTCCTCAAACTACGGCCCAGGGGCTGGATCTGGCCTGCCATGCCCATTTGGACCCGCCCGCACCCATGCGCGCGTCTGCTGCTGCTCCCACTGGATCACAGAGCCTTATGTTGGCAGAAGGGACACAACTGGCCCTGTTACTGATGTGAAGACAACATACAGGCTTTGAATATATGGATGCCCAGATCTAAATCTATTCTGGACCCCTTTTTCCTGGATGCTGCTTTTTGTTTTAATAGCAAGTTGTATCAATAGGGCATATTTTTAGAGTGGAAGAGGCAAAATACTTTCAGGACACTATTTATATTTATATGGTAATGATTAGATAACAGTTTGTTGCAAGTCTTACAATATTACACACTAGAGAAAAGCAAACCAGAGTGGCTTCTAAATATGATGGTATCCATGGATATGTCACTGCAATTAAATGCAATTAACCTCTTGCTTAGCCTCCTGTTGAACCAACAAGCACTGCTACCAAAGAAATCCAGACCTTGAAACATTACAAAAACACACAAATCCATCTCAGTTGGGCCTGTTGACAATTCAAGCCCCAAAATTATTTTTAAATGAATACTGATGCTGCAATTCTGTAAACACATACCCAGAAGAAAATCCAGGTGAATTTAATAGGGCTTAATTTTGAGTAGGCATGCACACAGTTGCAGTATTAACCAGAGAGATGGTAACTTGTTCTGTTTTAGGTAGTAAAGAATTAATGTGAAAACAGAACCATTTTGGAGCCCTCATGGTTTTTCCACTTTCACAGGGGTCCTATACCCCATACTCTGTGAATGTGGAGGGTTGACTACTTAAATTGAGATTATGTGGCACTGGACTTGCCCTAAGGAAGTCTCCATTCAATAATTGATATGATTACTGGAGGCAGTGGGCTGCACCAGAGCTTATTAAGTATGTCACAACAAAAGAGGCAAAAAATTATGCAACCAGCAAGTGCCAATTTGTTTTTCTTTACTCAACTCATATGGCACAATAAAAAAATATTTTGCTCCTTCATAGTGATGCATATCTTGGGTACATCAAGTGGTAACAATACCAATTAAATCCATTTCAATTTCAGTTTATAGCACAGCAAAAAGTGGTTAAGTCAAAGGGGTGAATACTTCCATTCTATATGCACACAGACAAATGCAGAACAGAAAATCACAATGTTTCAGAAAAACAGGAGATAGTGAGATCTTGTCCCAAAGACACTTTGTACCTAACTAGAAATTTAATCATAAAATATTCTACTGGCACAACCTCTTTAACAGTGCCAAATGCTGAACTTTCTTTCAGAGACTCTACTGGAATGCCAAATTATATCGAAGTCAGCAGTTTGGAAAGATCAGCTAACAATAACCGTCAGCATTACTTCTTAAGGAGGCCTAACAGAGTCAAACCTTATGTTTGTGTGATGACCGTAACAACCCACTCTATGTATGTGAATTGAGTTCAAAATCTAGGGATCCATTATGAAAAAAATCTCCTCTAACCCAAACAAAAATACTGTATTTTTGCCAAAGAAAGTGGTACCAAAAACTCATGCATATAGGAGAGTAGTCTGGAAAACATCATGCATAAATAGGAATGGATGGCAGCATGCCTACTCAGAAGTCGGTACTCCTGAATGCAGCAGGGCTTAGCTCTAGTATAGCCTTCTACAATCTGATGCCATCAGAAGTTTTGGACTACAACTCCTAGCATTCCTAACTTCTGGTAAAATTAAAGTTAGAGAACAAATATTACTCAGTTTTATAAGAAAAATGCAGAAGTGTGTTCATTTTTAGCAGCAATTTAAGGAGTAATCAATCAGACACATGAATGTTAGACTTTACAAATAGAGGTCTCATCTCGTTGATGTAATAGCTTGAAAGTAGACAGAGCCTTTACAAGAAAAGAAATTGGGGTACATGAGTTACACTGCTGGAATGTACTAGGTGAGAAAGTGGGGAAGAATCACTGAAATATATTCAATATAACTGACCAGTTCAGTTGATGGTTCAGGGAGTTCAATTCTGGCCCTATGGATGGGTCCCATTTTAAGGCCCAGTCAGTGCACTTGCTCTATGTATAAAGCTAGATCAGACCTCTGCAGTTATGTTCTAAACTGTCCTAATATTGACTAGTTTTTCCAATATTTACAACTGAATTATTTTTTTAAGAAGAAAACTAGTGAAGTTGATTGTGACCCTCCCTTACCCCCAAACGGCATTTATAAACATTTTCCTTACTAACACACTTCACGTATACGTGTGGTATTTATAAGTTGATCCTAATTATATTTACTCAGCAGTATGT